CTTCTCTCCTAGGTTAAAACTAGAGTTAACTTATCATTAAGCTTAGCATAGAATTCATCAAATGATTCATCGTCCTTCATTCTAATTTCTTCAAAGCTAGAAGTCAACATCTGCAGTTTAGAGTTTTTAACAGTTTTAGTTCCCTCGTGTGTGGTTTCTAAGATATCCCAAACGTCTTTAGCAGTTTCACACATCGAAACTCTTATAAACTCTTCAGCAAACATAGTCATGAATAGGGCATGAATGCCCTTACTATTCTAGTTACACTCAACTAAGTCATCTTTAGTCCAGAGTGAAATATCGTGGGTGTAACTACACTAACAACAGTTGTTGAAGGTGCAGTCCACCCAGTTTGAACGCTTATCCAATACTTTAAGAAATGCTCTCATTCGAACTTTCCAATAAGTATAGTTGCTTCCGTCGAAAAACGGAGGCACGGATAAGGACTGACTCATCTAGAATAAATTAAGAGCCAGGAATCGAAATAAGGCTCTGATACCAATTGATAATACAAAGTTCGACCCAAAGTACACCTAGAGGAGGTGAATAGGTGATTACACGGAATTAAAAACTTAATAATTAAATAGCAACAAATCACTATTAATTATCTCTGGATGGTTAATCATACAATTCAGTTTTTCGTATGTTGAAATACCGCAGTTATGAAAGTAATAAATAAACACACAAGAATTGAACACGGAGAAACCCCAACTAGGTAAAAACTCCGGGCACTTTGCCATTCAATAATCCACTATAAACTAGTTAAAACTTACAGTCTGCCGACTTGACTACCACTAGTACTTTCTGACCTCCTGACTGCAATTCCAACAGCTTTCTTGGATTTCGTGCTCCTACACCAACTCCCAGCTACAGTTTTCAAAGCTCTCCTAGATTGCGATCTCCTGCAACAACTCCCAAATTTGTAAAATCGTCTATCTCCTGTGGATTAACGAATAACACCGCATTCTTCAACGACTGGAACTCGGGTCACATTCCCTTGATCTTCAGACCTCTGACAGATATGAATGAAGCAGTAGTTTGATATTTGAATTGTGAATTTGATGTTTTCACCGCTAATAGCCAGTAACAGAACGAAGGTTGAAAGCAAATTTATGAAGATGATATAAAGAGAATATGTTTTCCACAATGTTCAACCTTAGAAAACTCGTTCATCAAACGTTCAGGTATTTATATGTAGGTCAAGGTATGAATCCAGATAAAAAGCCTTAAGAAAACGAATTAAAAAATTCTCGGATAATCCTGTCGCTCGAGCAAAAGTTGGGCGACAGGTGAGCGATAGTGTGTCGCTCAAGCGAAGGCTTGGCAACAGGCTAGTGACATTGTTATTGTTTCTGACACTCGAGCCAAGTCTTGCGACAATCTAACGAAATTGTAGCGTCGTTTTTCCTTCTTTTCAATTCTCGAACCCTAGACCTAAAATAACAATATTTGCACATTACTCCTTGACTTTTACAAAATATTAATTTTAATCCATTTTGTTCACAGACTTGCCAATTATATCAAATACCTAACACACATCTTCTTACTATCAAATTTTTACACTGTATTTCTTATGGTTTTAATTGTTGAAATTGTAGTATTTATATTTTAGTCCATGTTTATAATGATTTTTCAAAATCACCCCAACATTAAGGATGATTTTGTAAATACCCTTAGTCTTTGAAGGGAAGAGAACTTGAAAGCCCAAAAAGATTAATCAAGAGGGGGTGAAATGATTTTTGAAACTTTTTCAAAAATTAATTAATTAAATAATAAGTGTATATGAAATAATTGTAAGTAAAAGAAAAGAGTGTACAAACAACATAATTGTGGAGGTTCTATCTAAACCAATGATCTACTCCTGTGTTACCAAGCTATTCATTATGAGTAAAGTTTTTTTACTATATTGATTGACTTATGGTGCAATCCAAATACTTACAATGCTTCCGATAACTTACAAATAATGAGCATCGATTCTTATACAATATTAAGCTTTCAAAGGACCTCAATATGACCCATAAGTTCGAATAATAATTTTACAGTGAAGATTCTCTCTTGATAAATGATACAAATGAATTAAATACTAAGGAAGAGTAACACTTCAATGAATGGTAATAAATGATAACTCAAGTGTTGGAAGAGAAAACTTTGAATGAGTATGACAATTTTAAAAATTTGATTCAACCAATCAAAGTTTTTCAAAGTGAATAAGTAGATAAAATAAATAAGATGTAAGCGCAAATAATTTTGCTCAAGAATTTCTCTCTTTAATGCACTTAAAGACTCTTGCAATGAATGCAAAAAGATATGTTATTTATAGAGTTCAAAAAGCAAATATTACTAGGAGATCGGATGAGTATCTGTACGTTTGCCTCATGTTGGGACGCAAGAAACTAGTCGTTGGACGTCGAACATCAGAACGGTCAAAAAATTCAACCGTTGCAATTTGCGTCGAACGTCCGCTTTTACATAATTCTTCGGTTTTACTTCGTTTGATCCGATTTGAATATTTTGAAAAATGTAGACTTTTGAAAGGCGATTTCAACTCATTTTTCAAGCTAAGTGATATTTTAAAATATGATCTAAGTTCGAGTATCACATTGAAAAACAATCTTAACTTTGATCAAAACATACTAGTAAGTGATAATCAAAATTGTGGTGCATGAAATTGTTTTAGAGCTTTAATCATTTGTTGCTAAAAATCAAAGTTTTAGTACATTTACATATGAACAAAAAAGTCTAGTCTATGATCTTTTTTTGACGTTTGACTTTTACACTGTTGTCTGGAAGAATTTGACTTGAATGCTTGATTTTGATCTTCACCTTCGTTGTGAGTCTAATTTGTAGCATGATAGTCTTGATTATGATCTCTTAGAGACGATCGACGTCTTTGAACACTTTGAAGACTATTATCACTTAAATCCAATTGTTAGAAAACACGGTTAACTTTTTTGTTATGATAACCATAGGTCAAGACTCAAGAGGACCTACAAACAGTATGACATTGCTTCGTAAACAAGGGTTCTTATGACACGTGAAAGAGAGAAAGTTAGAGAAGATGATAGTGTGACATATTGCTTGGTGAAAAAGAATTTATTAGACACGTAATGAGTAATTTGTTCATATGACGTGCATCGAACATCGCGAGAGCTTCTTTACCTTTCTTTGTAATTCTTGAAGTATAGCTTTACGTTTCTCCTTTTACTTTTGGTGAATGTGGACTGGAATTTCGTCTATTACCAACAACTCAATATTCCTAGTAACTTGACAGGTTCATGTTGAGCTAATAAATGCAAAATTGCAAATTACTATCTTTGAACGGACATACATTGTGGACAAAGTTGATATGACTTACTATAATCTTCATCACATTGTTCAATGTACAATGGATAAAGCGAAAGGCATACAACACACTAGATGATTCATACGTGTTCGAGAAAGTAACTTACAAGTTACGATGTGGATCCATGTATTTAAATATTATCACGCGAACGAAGCAAATTACTTCTTTCACCGAAATTTTAATTTATATATTGATGACAATGAGACGAGAATAAATGTGTTTGAATTGATATCATATTTAATTGCATTGAATTACCTCATGAAAATTTAAAGCTGATAAAAAAAACAAATTGGATATGAAATAGAGAGGAACAACATGAAACCAACGAGACTGTGGTTTGATATGACTTGAAGAAATCTTGGGATGGAATAAAGAAAAAAGGTGAAATTTTTTGTAGGCCCTCTTGATAGTGTTGTATTGAATAAAAATGTTGTGTTATACTTTTCTTTATTAAGAAGGTCGCATTCAATGAAGGACAAAATGTGAAGAGTATATTCTTATTTAAAAAGATTTACACAACTTATTCGATTCTTTACTCGATCGGTTCAAATTGAGGCGAATATTGTGAGTGCTTAAACATGTACAAATTTTGATGCAATCTATGTGATATCGACAATTTCAACTTTCTTTCTACGAAACAATATCGTTGACTAACAAATAAAAACAATTTGCAAGAAGAAAGTATGTGTTCACTAAGAAATGATAAATAACCGATATATAAAATTTGAATTATTCTTTTAAAAAAAAGGTGTCCCTTTAAAACAGAACGACAATTCTTAATACTCTTTCTATTAGAGTCCATAAAACTCAAATGAACAATTCGATTCAACTGCCGCAAACAAATTTCAAAATTGACGTCTCAAACAAACCACATCCCTCCATGCATTTTAGATATTTGATAATTTCAAATCCAACTTACATTTTAGTTCACTTCATATTTTATTTCGCAATTTATCACTCTCCTTCTTAGTGATTATTTTATGTTAATTTAATTTATTTAATTTCCAATTATATAAATTTCTTGAAGATGATAGAATCTTCAGTGCTATTATTTTCCTCAATGCACGTCAACTTCTGGTCTACAGAACCACCGGAAAATATAAATCAATAAATTAAGCCTAGGTTTGGCAAATATTTATAAAGAAGACCCATAAATTTTATATGACCCACAAGTTCACGACTTATTCGTCGATCATTTATATCTATTTATAAATTAAACTATTTATAAACACTTCCCGTAGAAGCTTACTTAATATGTATTACTGCCATTCAGACAAGAAACCCTAATTAGTAAACACCAAAGTTAAAATCTAAAATTCATGGTATATAGGCAAGATAATTTCCAACATTTTACCAATAAATGCACTCACATTTTTAAAGCATGTTTTTATATTTGACTAAATAATTGGGCAAATATTAAAGAAGAAAAACTTCAATTTTTAGTCAATAATCCAACTTTACAGTATTAAGAATTCTCAGTACTATATACAAAACATACATTGTCCCAAGTAATTTGTTAAAAACCACATCTGTATATTGGCCAAGAAAATTGTTCTGTTGATTTCCATGTCTAAACCTAACATCAAAACACAAATCAAAGCCTATTCAACTCACACTTCACCTTTTTTTCGTAAAAGGCCATAGACGAGCTACCATCTCATTTATCACATTCTACTACTGCATCGGCAGAGACATTCTTCAATAAAGCATGCGAGCTCCAAACTCTCTGCAAGTACGCCTCTGCAAATCCCGGGGGATAGTCCTCTAGTTTCACCCTTTTGACATCAAATGCAGGACCTCCTTTTAGAGAATCATCTTTAAAGAGAGAGAATGCCAGTGTCATAGAGTGAAGATAAAGTTTTAAATAAAATAATTTGTTATCTCCGTAAAAGCTTAAACTTTTAAATAAGATAGTTCAACATATACTTGCTAGGGAGAAGTTACAATAGAATTATAAGGAAGAAAAGTAATGGATCGCAAGTGTAGATAATAAGTGGGGAATAGTTGTGTGTGACAATTAATGTTTTTACTTTGATTTCAAATTATATGAAGATTATAATTTCTCCCAGACAAGCTGAGAACAAACAGAGGTTTTGTCTTCAGGTCACGCCACCATGCATTTATAAATATCATGCAAGCATCAAGCATTTGATGAAAAATGAATTTGGCATGCACGAGGCATGTTGAAAACATAATTAAATAAATTAACGTCTCATCTCTTACCACTTAAACTTTTAGACGTAGTACTATATCATACCATGTAAGGCGGCGGAAGGAGTAGATTCTTTGCTAGAGCCTCCTTGTTCCCCTCTACGAACAAAAATATCCGTTTGTCCTACATCTTTTCCACCAATCATATCTATATCCATGTCAATCACCTCATTGTCCCCATTAAAACTTTCATCTGAAGGTCTTACATTTAAAGTGAGGGGTCTATCTTGGCATGCAATGTCATCTCGTTTCTCACGACGGAAGAATCCCCATAGGAAGTACTTCCCATTCCATCCTGTAAGAACATCCAGAAATGCAAATTCAAGGCCATTAAGCTGAACTTCTAAAAGAAGTTTGATCAAAAGATATGCCTTCACAATCATATAAGGTCAAAGAAACATAACACTATTGGTCCCCCAATCTATTCCCCAATAGCAAGTTAGTCCCCAGCCTTCATATAGGAGCAAGTCAGACTCCATCTTTTCATTAAAGTTGTACAATCAACCCCCAACCCAACATGAAGATTGATGTATAGATAGATAGATAGATAGATAGATAGATAGAAGCTGAGACGCATACTATCCTTATACATAACTGTTCCATAACTGCTATTAGAAATAGAAGCGTGAAAAACAACACTAACTGTCAATAGACAAATCTGTCAAAAATAGAATGCTGAACATATTTAGAGAATCGAGACTCACGTTGACAATCTGGGCTCAGACGAGTGGAAGCAAATAACAGCAGTTCAACGTCAGCAATCTGTTTCCTCAAGGCCAAGTCTTTCTCAATCATAGACTCCAGCAAGGAAAAGTAATCCTTAGATCTACAAAACAATACATAAATAAATGTAATGAAACAGCACATGGCAAGTTGAAAGAGGAACAGGATTTACGCGAATACATTGTAGATACATACCTCTCGCTGTTGCTTGGAAAGAAGTAAAGCCCAATGTTTTTCCCATCCGGACAATATGCCTGAAATAAGTTCATCCAGAGTTCTCTACACGGGAATAACTCAAAATGAAGGACTTCGGGCAATAGCATTGAGAATTCATAGACCTTTCGATGAACTTTTCCAGGAGGATGGGCTTGGATTGGATCACTGAGTGTCCCATGTTTAAAACCATTATGAATATTGAAGCTTCCCCTAAAAATTAGACAAGGAAAAAATACTCAGCATATTGATTGCAGGAGTGAAAATGTGAAATCTTATTGACTCATCATTACTCTAATACTCGGACTCTTGGAACTGGACGAAGTACCCATGTCGACACGATACGAGTATGGGTATGAGATATGTGTCGGATCCTCCAAATTTTAACCGGACACTTAGTCGTTTCTGATTATTTCTTTTTCTTCTTTCTTTCCCTTTTCTTCTTTCCCGTTCGTCGTTTCTGCTCTCTGTAAACTTAGCGCCAATGCCAATAGGTGGAGGCAAGTGGCAGCGCTAGATTTTTTTCCTTTCTTTTTTCTTTCCCTTTTCTTCTCTTTTTTCCCTCTTCTTTCCCTCTCTGTATCGATAGTTTAGGGTTTTCTTTGTATAAATGAAAATGAGCTCTTTATAGTGCTACTTAGTGTTCTACTAAGTCCAAATTGTAATCGAGTCCCTCATTTTCTATTTTATATAACATTTAGTAATTAACTTCCCATAATTGAAAACTAAACCCCAAAATTATATTTTACTCGTCTTGACCCCTTATTTAATACTTATTTCCTGCTTCGTGAACAATTTATTTTGGCTTATTTAAAATGATATCTTGAGTTAGTAAAAAAATTGAAATTTGAAAGACGTACATATATATCTGTATCTAAAATTTGGACTTTTTTTTAGTCATGTCCCCATATCCTATATTTTAGAAAATAAAAAATCTGACACTTAAATACGTACATGTACCCCGAGTCCGAGCATCATAGTATCATTGCACAATAACTATTGTAAAATTGGGAGATCCTTTGCAGTGATTTTTAGTTGCACACACATTTTACACAATCTACGGGAAGTTAAAAATTAATAAATGTCTTCCCGTACGTTGAAGAGACCATATAGTTGGGAATTAATCTATCCAAATTGGATATTGAGAAAGGCTATAATAATTAGTTTTTGACTATATAGGCCAGGAGAAAATCATGTTAATATAAAAGGAAATATCAAATGTAGATACAGGGACTAANCCCACACACACACAAAAAAAAAAAAAGCACCACACAAACCATCTCATGAACCTCATTGACTCTATGCCACTAACTCCCAGAACACCTTTCCTGTTGAACAATATATTATTTTTAATTATCTCCAACAAGTACTGATATAGAAAGAAATTTTCAACAACATTGGTTCGGAAGAGTAGGCAACTTACATCCACACAGCACGTATAGCAGGATTACTTGTAGATACCTCCACATAAGGCAGAATATTATTATTCACGTTGTCAACAGTAGAAGCCCTTGGCTCTATATAGGGAAGAATATTGTTGTTCACGTTTGCAGCAATAGAAGTCCTTGGTTCTGCATAAGGCAGAATACTACTATTCAGGTTCTCAGCATTAGCAGTCCTTGGTGCCAAACCAGGGGAGGGTTGCAATGTGTTGACAGCCAACTTATAGCATGAATTCTAAGAATATTTTTCATAGTTTTGATTTACTTATTGAACACACAGCATTTTTGTAGCATTTCTCCCATTTTACTCTCATAGGAACACTACATGTTCTCTCCCCTATACTCTTCATATTTTTCTTTAGTGTGATGTCAGGATGTGAAATAATGTACGCAAAATTTACCATAAGATTTTCTCGTTCCTTTAATATTTTGCATCAGATCTTCCATTTAGTTATGCTATACTAATTTCAAACCCATCGAGTGTTGCGGCGATATAACTATATGTAGTTTACTTTTCTATTAGATTCCATAATCATAAATTGGTGTAATTAATATGATGTTTTACCTATATTCAAGTAATTATACCATAGATCAGGTTTGATCTCAGGAAAAATGAGACAGATCACGTTACATGAATTTCAAAGTCAATAGAATTACTTGTGATATTACTACAAAATGAAAATAGTGTTGAGGTATTTCACCGTACCAACTGCCAATAACAAGTTTTGTAAGGCTGAATAGCTGATTTCTCTTTTCATTATCATAAACATTAAAACTTTGTGGTTTTTAAAATGGAAACCACGAGCTATAATTGTCTCCCTTGATATAAAAGTATTTTGAAGACTCCATTCCTGACATATGATTGATTCTCAATTATTATCCTCCCATAATAAAATACCTGTGAATCTTTATCATAATATCAGTACTATGGACAGTTTATTTATTCACTTCAACATCATAAAATTGATGAATTATACACACACAAATCGTAGTTCATTAGCAAATAGGCAGAATCAAGAAAAGAACAGAGAAATGATCTTGCCTGAGATTACTACTGGGTGAGACACTGATAAAGATGCAGGTGAGAGCTTCTTGATTGCATTTACGATTTCTGAAGTCCGTTCCTTCTGAATATGTTCATGAATAGGAGTTGGAGCTGTTTGAATGGCATTCACTGGTCTTTGCACTTCTAATGAAATCATAAAGCATTTAGTACATTAATATTATCTAATGTGATTATTATAATAGAATTGACCCAAAAATTCATAGGTTTCATATTTATTAACTGGAGCAGACATTACTGATATTATTAGCAGCAAGATGAAATTAACTGAGACTTCATTGATTATTTATGTTATAAAATACAAGACTTATCTTCTCATCACATTATCGAAAGAAATTTTGAGTTCGACAATCATCTGCTTCTCTATTGATTTGTATAAGCTATGAAATCCAAGACTTATCATCTCCTCACATTCTGAGAGAAGGTAATACTATATTTAATACTGAATCCTTGCAACCCTTGTGTGTACTTTATCCAAAAAAGTATTAGTATTGGGCAAAAGTAAATTAGCTCAGCATGTTCAGCTAAGATAAGTAAGTAAAATGTTTTGTTTCCAAACATATTTGAATATGTTAATATTTTCCTACTTTTAGGTAGAGTTACTTACTTTAAAAGTAACTTTTTAAACTAGTGTGAATAAGTAACTTATTTCAAACTTTAGCGAGTAAAAGAAAAAACTAAATTAAAAACTTAGAATTACTTATTAAGAAAACTTTTTATATCTAGCGTAAGCTAAACATATGTATATCAAATGCTTGAACTCAATCTAATAGGACAAAGTAATCACCTCTGAGTTCTTTAGACTGCTGCTGCCGCCGAGAGATCTCCACATTGCCATGTTTTTGAGGCTTTAACTTCTGTGAAGGACCTGAAGAAAACTTTTCTCTATCCGGATATGCAGAGAACTTCATGGGTATGGTTTGGGGCATGATAGAAGTTCTCCCAAGTAAATTCACCTCAGTCTTGAGTTGTGGAGGGATTGTATGACGAGTAACCATTTTAGGAGACAGAGTTTTTGGGGCTCCTGACGAGAGCTTTATGGCCTCTGTAACAGGAATATATTTTGTACTCCTAGTTGCTACCTTCTTTTCCAAGTTAACAGAAACCTGTCTTGTTTCATTTGATAATTTTCGACTCTTTGAAGAAGGGGTAGCATCATGGTGCACTGTTCCAAAGTTTATTAACTTTGACCCTCTCGGTAAGTCTCCCCTTGGACAAGATGCTGGGGAAATTGTTTCAGCTCTAGGCTCACATTCATTGCAATACCAATCTGTCGGGTACTTCTCAAAATAGTTTCGCATGCAATACCTAGATTAATATATAAAAGTTGACTATAATACATAATACCCAAAGAATTACAAAATTTCCTGAACTTGTTATTCTAACTAAAAGCGCAGAGTAGAATGATGCTTAAAGGCGCAGATACACTGAAGTGGAAGAATAGATTTCTTCATTTCAGCAAGTCTAGTGATAAATTAAAAATTATCCCCCAACGTGCACGGAGAGAGAGAGAGAGAAAGAGAGAAAGAGAGAGAGAGAGAGAGTGATCTTACAAATGCTCATTAGTTTCTTTACAATGAGAGCAAGTAACTAATGCCTCAGCAAAGCCAATATCACCACATATATAGCAACATCTATCCTGAGAGTCAGGAGAGAGGCGTCAAAAACCTTAACAGATTACATAGAAATAGCAACAGAATTTCTCAAAAGATTATAAAAGTTGATCATGTGCATAAGTCACGCTTTGACAGCAGTTTCAGAAACACAAAAAGAACAAGGAAAAAACTAATATGCTATTAGATGGCCAATATTATGTATGAAGAAGTAAGACCTTTGCATATAAAGCAAAACTTAATGAAACATAAAACAAAACATAATGAAATAGAAAAGAAATGTAACAGCAGAAGAAGCCCGCGTACTTGGTGTAACTTGAGGCAACTTTCTTATAACACTGGACAAACAAATTTCTGTTCCATACAGTATGCTAACGAGAATCAGGATATGGGAGTAGACTTTTAGATAATGATCATGTGGCTTATTATACATACAGAGCAAGCTAGTAACAGGTAATAAAAAACCAATATTTTTAAGCTTGAAACTAAGAGAATTGCATATTAAACATTTCAAGAACATGAAATATGAAGTTTGTTTTCTTTTCAAAGTTTCAAAATCAGTAAAAGGATTGTTCCCAATAATCGGAAGTCTATTTATCGAAACACTGATAAAACCAATAAATATCATAGGCAAAAACAGTCAATGATACTTTCAGAAGCTTAAGAAAGTAGGTTGAATTTCGAAGTAGTAAAAAGTTAAAGATCTGTTGAGACAAAGACAGTCTGAATTAGCCTTAGGTTGCCTGAACATTATTTTTTAAAAACTAATCTAACAGAATTCACACAATCGGTATTTTTATAATGCAAACACCCAGGATTAAAATGAAAGCAACCATAGAGCACGCACATGATAATAAATAAATAATAGCATGATTGATTTCCCTTCAACTAAAAAGAAATTTTTATCAGTCGCTAGAAAGGGCCCCAGGCCATGCTATGCTGGTGCATCATTCAAACCACAAAAGTGTATTTGTTTCAGAGAAACATAGGCAAAACAAAGATGGTGAAAGAAGTGCAGCAAATTGATAATGTGATAGTTCAAAATAACATGTAGCGAACTAGAAAATGTGAGACTCAAATCAACTAACTGTCTATAAATATCTACATATCTTACACTGGTTAACAAAAATGCACATCTAAAAAGTTCTATTACCATGTGCTCATCCTGTACAATTTAATTGTAGACGTTGTTTCAAAAATACAACATCATATACATTCATTATTTTGAGAAAAAATTGTACAAATACAGTCCTCAGAGTATCTGGTATGACGTGATTATGCAAATCTATTAAAAGTACTTGGCTTGTTTCCTCTATAGTAATCTGAACTGATTTTGATTTCCAAAAAGAGATAATAGAACAAAGTCTGCAAGTTTCATTAAAACTAGTAATTTATAATGGAAAGTCTTGAATTAAGTCAAAGATATTTGTTGGTATCCATAGGTGCCAATAGGAATAGTGACAAGAGCATTAGAAGTTCTACAAATTGCAGTGAGAACGTGGCAAAGTCCAGGTCGTCAACTCCACGAACCACATGATTGGTGGGCCCGTAGTCAGACTAGCTGAAATTCTCCCCCACTCTCTAACCCAGAGCGAGGAGACAAATTAAAATAATTTTGAAAACTGAGACAAAAATGAGATTGCCAATAAACAAACAGGAAGTCACCAATAGCCTCACTTTTTCAAAATACTTAAAATTAACCTTGTAAAAAAAATCTAAACAACTTTCTTAACTTTTTTCTTCTGCCCCACCCCCCACACAAGTTTGCTTCCTGTTATCCACAGGTTGGAGAGTTACGGACTGCTTAGGGGAAGGCTCATTGTTTGAACACTTCTGAGCAGCTTGAGGATTGTGAGGGGTGTCTCCACCTTCAAAAGGATAAACCAAAGAACTTTGGCCCCCACCAGCACTGACTCCTCTAGTCATTGTCTCTTATTATTAATCAAGAAGAAAGCAAACAGTTATATGTTTAATTCCCGACCAAAAAAAGAACATCAGGACTCAAAATTAATTGGGTAGAAATGGAAAACTGCAACGGAAAAATCCTCATTTACTTGCAGAATGTTGACAAATGCATATACAAACTCAAGGAGAAAGATATAAATGCTACAAAGAAACACAAATAAGTTAATTTTGTTATCATGCGAAAGAACTCCCTGCATCTGTACCCCACCCCTACCCTTTGCTCTCCGGCTTCAAGCCCATGACACCCCTGCGTCCGTCCCTCACCCATGGGACTATGGAAGAAGACAAGACTTCTGTCAATTTGACAAACTTGGAAAAGGGCAAGGTAAGAGAGATAAAACTAGAAGTCATTCTAAGTTGGAATCGATTTACTATTTTCAAAAAGGAAAAAAATTCTTCAAGAACAAGCATGTTGTACATCCTCAAACAAATTCCAAAAACTAGAAAAAGGCAACTTATTCTTTTGAAACTGACACAACAAACTAAGCTATGTTCCCAATGAAGCCAATATAAGTATAATCCTAAAAATAAGAATGAAAGGTAATTTCATTATGTCTGTATACCAGCCATGTGTTCTGGAACTTCTAGTTCCAATCGAAGCACATTGATCCATAAATTGATTTGCAAGTATATCCACTTAACAAACTGAAGAAACCTATAAACTTCAAACTATAAACCCTAATGATTTCTAAATTCTAAAGATCAAGAGGAGGTGAGAAATTCCAAAGAATTGAAAAGAGGAAAAGTATCATAAGAAGACGTAACCAGTCCAACCCATTAATCAATTCATACCAACTTTCAAGTACAGAAGCAAAGTACCACCAGGAATAATGATTCTTTTAGTGAACATGCTCAAAAGACTGCTGAAGCTACCATTACTTGAACTTTTTCCTATCATTTCAAGCTTTAAAAAAACACTGTAAAACATTCATAACACGGCATGTTCATAATCAAAATTTCAAATTCCAAGAAACCCATCACCTTTCTCAAGGGGGAAGATGGTCCTTACACATAAATAAATTCATCCAGTACCAATTTTTAACAAGAATAACAAATAAAATCCAAAGAATCACGAAATATAAAAACAAATTAATAATTACAGAAAGTAAAATACAGCACAAATACCAGCAACAGTTTCATCATTTTTTGGCAAGTAACGCCATTTTACCATTTTCGTTTCTCAACGTGGAGATCGAGAAACGTATACAAAATCTAAAAAAAAAAATACCATTTTCATCATTATTTGATTAAAATCTTCAATTTCTCTCACATGAGACATAAAAATATTTGCAAAGAGCCACATAACTCTTAGTCCTTTGTCCAAGAACTAGCATAGAAAAAAAGTACTTGCGGATTTCTAATTAATTTTAGAAAACCCATTCGCTACTAAACCCTTCACAACCCCAGAAAGAGTCCATCCATGAAACCCATTTCACGCTTAACCCTCCACAGCCCGAGAGAGAGGGAGAGTGGGATTCTCCATACATGCACATTTTGTTTTTGCGTGGCCGTGTATGTAGAGAGAGAAAGAGCTTCACAAAGATCCATACAGTTCAAATCATAAAAAAATGAATAAAATATACAAAAAGGGCCAACTGCAACATGCTTTGCAACTGCAGTCACATTGTTTATTAATGGCGGAAAGTCGGAAACCCAAAAAGAAATGAAGAAAAACGAATATTTTTTACCATCTGGCATGCCTGTTCATCTTCCATCCCAGCACTTAAAACAGAATTCTTCACTGCTGATCAATCTTTAATGATGCATGAACGTACACAAGGAGTGAGTTTACAAAGCGAGCAAAGGAGGAGAGAAACAAGAGAGAGAAAGTCGGTGTGATGTCTGTGGAAAGGGACAGGCGATAAAATACACCCACCTCTCACACCCCAACACCAAGTAAAAATGGCAGAAAAATTTGTTTAACTCATACTCACAGAACCAATTTTCAAGGGGACGAGGATTACCTGCCCAACCAAGGACGGGACCCTGCCCCCGAAAGTGGGTACGGAAATCTTTGTCACGTGAGTCGTGACACGTCCCACTATTCATCATGTTTAAAGTTTTAAATTTTTTATCAAATAAAACCAAAAAGGATAATAGTAGAGGTACATAAGCATTTACATAAGGGTGTCCATAATACTGATGTGGCAATCATCCGGTCATTGATGTGTAAGTGTCAGATTTAAATTAAAGGTGGGATCACATGCCACATCAGCATTATGGACACCTTTATGTAGATGCTTATGTACCTTTAGCATTATCCAACTAAAAAACTTAGCTCATATTTGTTATGGATTAAAATCCAAGTTTTAATCTAAATCAAAGTTAACAATCAATTTTAATAATATATTTTATGGACCTCACAATTTTTCAACTACATATTTCATCATTTTTTATAAAAATCAACTAAAATTGTAATTTTAATCCCCATCAAACATAGAGTTATTATTATTTTTAAAGAGAAAACGAGTTACTTTTAATTAATTGGAAAAAGGTAATAATATTTACTAATTGAAGACATAAAAAAATAGATTAAATCAAAAACAAAAAAGTAAATGGGGCAAGAGACCTACATCGCCCTGTCTCGCTTTAATCGAGTATGGGGAAGGGAAAGGTGAAAAAAATACCCAACGGACAAGAGTGAGAATGGTTGACCCGTCACATACTCTCCTCGTTGTCATCCCTACCTTTAAGAGTGAATGCCATCTGGTTTGAACGGAATTGAGTTGAACTAGTAAATCTTATAAATTAAATCATTGGTTTCATATCTAACTATAGAACCGTACCAATGGGAATTTTAGAAATGGAATAATTGATTTCATATCCAACTATATAGTCGAACCGAAACCATAACAATCGATTTCGATTCAGTCGAATCTGGTTCTTTATATTGAAAAAAAAATTATAAAAATAAAGTATGAAACTAATTGTCAAATTGAAAATAGACAAAAATAGAGTATGAAATCACTTGTCGTTCTTGTAATCTAACAACTAGTTAGACGTACGTGCAATGCACGTGCTATTAGCGTAGTTGGCTATTTAATAGCGTTCTTGTGAAAGCTTAATGTAAGGAACATAAATGAAGCACCGGAAGATAGATTTTAACATCCTGTAAAAGCGAAATAGTATTTTAGTTATTTTTTGTAATGTTTGTAATCTTAGTCATATTGAAAAATTGATTTGATGTTATACTCATTGTGATTGTATTAGAAGGACGATTTGAAAATCTCATGGAAAAGGTATTGCAATACTTTCATAAGTTATGTAAGCAGAAAACAAGTATTTACATTGTACAAATCCAATCAGTTATAACTGCTACAATGTTTGGATAGTTAAGGAAAGAGTTTTCAGACAAAGACGTTATAAGTCATGCCATCATTAGTGTTGTTTAGACAAAATGAAGACAAATTCAATGCTTGATATTAACTAAACATGAAATATGAAGAGGTAAAATGTACAATTCATGTAAGTGTCCAACTACCATCGGTGGGACAGACTTTGTATACTAAGAACATTGGGATTTCATCGTTCACAAATTCAAATACGCACGTGTCACCTATTTGAAGTTGTTTCTCTGTAACTTAGGCTGACCAACCTACAGTGAAACGTCATACGTCACTATTAGTTCTTAGATTTGAACGCACTGGACAATTGTGGTGTGAACGATCATGGATTTGTATATTCCGACACGTTTTTGTAGATGCAATCGAGCGAAAGTCCCAGGCACATCCTATAAAATAAATTGAAGAATTTATAAATAGCGAAATGTAGCATTAGGTGAGACAATGAAATGGAGAAGTACTTTCATACATATAAAGCAGGTAGGTAATAATCACATAATTTAGAAAAGATTTAATTTAAAGAAGAGCTTGCAATTTTGCGATGACCATCTCGACTAGCTTGTAATGTTACTCAGAATATAGGATTGCCATTAGGTGAAATCTCATCCTCAAATGTCTCTGACTCATAGGTTATTTCTACGCCTGAATCCTCAAATATTGAAACATCGAAAGTGGAATTTTCGTTGTATTCAAAGACGATAGCATAGCCATCTTGTAAATTATGGTGGTCATAGAATTGTGGTCATTCACTAGCAAGATATATGTTATTATTAACTCTTTCAAATTGGATGTTGCAAATAATTCCATCATAACCAATCAAACATACTACATCGCTAAGGTGATGTCCTGCGCGATGGACAAAATATGCAGGAAGTGCCTATAATAGAAAACAATTTTAGTTATAAAAAAAGGTTATTTAATTTATATGATATATGAAAATGTATTAAGTTTCGTACCCAATCCATAGTCATGGTTGGTTTATCCTAAAGCTTCATTCATTAAACTTGAATTCTGAAATTGTGAAACAAGAGCAGTTTGTCCCTGGATTCTCGCATAAGTCAAAGAAGCAATCTTTTCACTATTGAACTTTTTCCATTTCTTCCCATTAAATGCCTGCAGAGATTTACATGAGACAATTCCATTTGTTACTGAACAGATTTTCAGATTTTGCAAGAAACAAAATCCATGATTACGATGCTTCTGAGGGTGATTAGAGCATAACAATTGTAAAATGTTTCCGAGCTTTCATATTATTTGCTCACATATTTTAGTATCCTGCAGTGATATTTAGTACAGATGACCGCAAGGAAGGGACAAAGGAAAGAAACTCAAACCTGATGGAAGGTGATGATATGTGCAGGAGACACCATGTTGATGAAAGCATACCTCACATTGCACTTATTCTGGGCAGGATCAAATATAAATTGGCAAGGGTATTGAGTTTAGCGCAAAGTTATATAATTTTATTCCAAGGTAACTCACCTTCAAATCAATTGGTAGATAGAGGAAATCATATGTGCCCTTGTGAGTTTCATCGATAGCGGCAAGTAACATCTTCGAGGTCTACGTTCAAACAAGGAAAATTAAAATGCAGCATTAATTTGCAGTTTCAAATCTCAATGGATATTTAAATTGTTGTCAGTTCCTACTTGTTGGGGATATTTTTAATCATCAAAGTAGTCCTACTATCTTCCCGACTGCCGATCTTTTATGCAGTTTCAAATCAAAATGGATATTTAAATTGTTGTCAGTTCATACTTGTTGGGGATATTTTTAATCATCAAAGTAGTCCTACTATCTTCCCGACTGACGATCTTTTCCAAATCAAGTTGACACTGCCTTCTGTCTTCCACCTGACTTCCACTATCAACCCTTTCTATTTCAATAGTGATCAATCAATCCATCGTTGCTAGTTACTCCCATGCCTCCATAAGGGAATTGTGATAAAACTAAGCTACTAATTCACAACTAAAGGAAACAAATCTCATAGCAGGAGCTGCATGAAATCCAAACGTATAAACAAGTATATTCCAATTAAAAGTACAGCTCAAACAATTTCTAGTGAATTGGTATTTCATCTAAATTTTTAATCAAATATCATAGGTTTCAATATCAAGAAATCAATCGAGACTATATTTTTCTTTCATGTTGGTCTCCTCTGAATAAAAGCAAGGCAATATCATTCACATAATTTTTCTCAATAAAAGCTATCAGTAGTTACGAAAATGGTGTTTTTGGTAGGTAATAAACATAGTTATTTTTACAGAAAATGGATGAGACAAGGTCAAAGAGTAAGTTCGACCAGCATACAAATAAAAGAACATAACCAATATGACTGACTACTTATTATGTTAAGATAACTTTGGGTTGTATATTGTATTATCTATGCCAGAGAACTAACTATCGTGAATATTTTTGGCATTGAGATAGCTATTCCACCCATGATGTCAAGATGAACAAGACGTACTCTATCATAAGTCGTTCTAGCCAAGAAAAGAAGTGCAACACCAATAAATCTATGAGAGATTATTTGTAAAAGAGTTTACTAAATGGGCTAATTGAGTCCCTGATGTGTTTGGCCTATTGCGTGTCAGAAATTAAGAGAGTATAAACAAACATGCATGTGTTATATCCTCACATGTCAAAAATTAAAAAGAACTGATAAGTAGGACACAACATGTTGCCAAATCGGTTATGTACAAAGATCACACATTTGAAGAGTTCAAGCAAATAAATTTGAACCTCACAACCACCATCCTTATGCTTCTGATCCACAATGAGAGAATATAAATTTTTGTTAACACATGAGTATAAACCACGTTGAGATCATTAACAAAGATAATGCTCCAGATGTAGTGAAGGATGTAACTTCTAGGTGTAACCATGCCTCCATACATATACCTTAATCTTCATTCAAACTAACCTGGCAATTACCATTCTATCAGTAATTTCACCATGCCCGACAATACTATCACCAAAATTCTGCACCAAAAAGAAAACATTAAAGAATGGGTAATATAATGATACAAGAGCTTTTAACATACGAGTCAAAAAGTTCCACAGAAACTGAATAAAGAAAAACAATAATGAACTTAGATTTTGAGAGCCTAGCTCCAATTAAGAAAAAAAAAATTAATGCTATCATAATTTGAACTTGAAAGTTCTTTTAAAGCCACTCGCAAAAAAGCCTCCAAAAAATGCTATAATTGATAAAAAGAGACCAATTGCACAATGTACTGGTAAAATAGAGATCTCTCTTGAAGGGAACTGTCAAACCAAACAAGAAGCACTAACGTTAATGAAGAGCATATTTTGAATTACGAGATTCAATAATATAAAATTATATAAACAGAAATTTAAGGACACTAGCAGTC